ACCATGGCCTACATACTAATTAAAACAGAATAATAGAATAATGTAAGTTGGGATGACCTTTGGAGATGGTCTGGTACAGCTCCCACTCAAAACCGAGGTAACTTTGGAGCTAGGTCAGATACTCAAGGTCATTACCAGTCCTTCCTTGAATATCACAGAGGAAATTGTTTTAACCCTCAGCGGAGGTTAAAAAGACTGTATATGTCCTGACTCAATCAGAAGGCAAAGATGTGCTCTTATTTATCTAGTTTTAAAAGTAAAATAGTTTACCTGATTACAGACTGCAAAGGGAAATGGGTTAGCCTAGACCGGAGTATTGCAGAGCCAAAAGAAATGGGAAGAAGTTATCTGTGTGTAATTGAGAATCAGACTACAAATCTGCGACATGCCTTGAAGTAAGCTGAGAAATTCGCCTCAGCAGTGGCAGCAGTAGTTCTTTAGGGGCAATTTCGATTGTGCTGCTGTTTGCAACAAGAGAGGACTCCTGTGCAAGTGCTGCTGTGCCAAGCAAAACATTCATTTCCTTCCTTTGATTGTCTTAATCCTTGTGGTTTGTTAACTTAATTGAAGCATTTATGTGGTAAATGATCTGAGCTTGTTAAGCATCACCACGGGATCCCTCAGGCAACAGCTACTCGGATGGCCTTGTGCTCTCTCAGAATTAAGGATCATAAAGTGCCTCAGGCACAATTGTTGCCAGAACTGCTGGAGAAACAGATTCTTCCACCACAACTTTGCATCTGGTTTTAATTCAATTTTTTTTTTTTCATTGATATCTTTTACACAGCTTTTTAAGATAGTATGTCTAAAAGCCTTTTGATGATCGGGAGTTTCAATCAGAAAATCTTCAGAGAAATATTCAAACAGCTCATATTGTGGGCTTATGCATGCAGTGTGCCGCACCATACCATTAACAGAATATTGCTGGAATTATGTCATCTAGTGGTAATGGATGAGAAGCCTATCAAGCAAAGTAATGATGTTCTGCTAGCCAGATCATAACCCACAGACTTCAGTTATAGTTTACATCTTGGTTATTTAAAAAGCAGGATTGGTTTTATTTGGGTATAAATCCTTTCTTCTAATGTAACACTGGTATTCTCAGCTGCTTGGAGGCACGCGCAGAGATGTGGGTCTATGCACCGGGGTCCCAAAGTACTGAAGGGGTTACTTAGCCGTGGAGACTCCAGTTCTAGTTTCAGGTCAGGAATGAACTGTAGTGAACTGAAGATAAGGTTGTGGCAGCAATGGCCCAGCGATTTTCACTCTCCTTACTCAATGTCTTATTCTTCAGCCTATTGAGTAAGAAGGGTGTGGGGGTGTAACTCTCCTTTGCAAATTGTGAGGCATCACCTGCACTGAAGTCACATCACACAGTTTACATAGACATTCCTGGCTCAGCCTCAAAATCACTGACCCTGATCCTCAGTACTGTACAAGTGCAAATGTGTGAAGGAGGATGTAGGTACAATTACCACTCATCCTCTGCAAACCACACTATCCAAAATGTTTTCAAATTGAAATGAGCACTCAGCAATGACTCCTTCCAGGTTCAGCCACTAAACTGTGTGCAAATACTTCTCTCTACACAGAAAGCATGGTGAGATCAGTGCTTTTATGCAGCCACCCATCAGGGTATTGAATTCTGCTTCCCTTTACATACATGGCACTCCATCTCCTATTTTGAGTCCCACTGAGTTCAGTTTCAGTAAAGTTAAGCAGAATGGAAGAAAAGGAGAACCAGAAAGACAGTAATATGATTCAACAAGACTTTTAATACGACATGAAATAGGTGCTACAGAATCGAATGGTGCAGTTCATCAATGGACGATTCCATAGTCCGAAGGCAGCCAGACCATCCGTGTCGATGAAAAAAGGCACTGCATGTCATGAGGTAAAGCTGAAATCTTTGCAGCAAAGTCCCACTTGCAAATTCTGAAGCATTTCCACTCCACCAGAAAGGACACAGTATAAGACTAGTAAGGATTTAAGGAAAGAAGCCGTCGTATGAAACTGCTATTGATAGAAGATGAGGCATAACATGGAAGAAAGAGGTGTGGGCCCGGTTTTCAGAGGTACCGAGCAAGGGTGGCTCCCGTTGATGCAATGGGCTTTCGCCATCTCTCAAAGCCAGTCCCAGCTGCGGATCCGGATCTTGCGTTTTCACCTCCTAAGTTGTTGTGCGGGTGTTCAGGACGCTTAGAATGAGCCACAGTTTCCAAGGCGGGAGCCA